GATCTGGCTCCAGAGTGAGGCTTTTTTCCCCTGGAGGGACGGAGCTAATTAACTGAGAGGGCTTAATTAATCAATTAGCGTGGCCTCCAGACCCCTCCACTTAGCTGAGGCAGCGGCAGGCATTTATAAACAGGAGCTGCCAGCCCTTCTCTGCAACCAAAGGGGAAGGCAGCGATCCCGGTGGGCACAGAGGCAGGAGCCCAGTCAGTGGGCAGAGAGGTGCCAGTCCCCCCCGAAGCTCTGAGCAGGTGCAGAATCAACAGCACCTGGGCATGCGGCATACACAGTGCGGCATGCACTCTGTGACACACGCCATGCGCACAGGTCACAGGCCTGACATCCAGAGCTGGGCAAGTGCCCAGAGGTGGCCCAGACAGTGGCCAGAGAACTGCTGATCCCAGCCGGACCCAGCACCTTGGCCAGCCAGGCCTCCAGGGGATGGGGCTGCACAGAGGGCCAAGGGAGCCAGAGCAGGCACCAGCCCCCGAGTTGGGGGAGGAGTCTGGGAAGGCTTCCTGGAGGAAGCAGCATGTTAGCTAGAGAGAGGAAGCTGCTGGCAGCAGGTGCGGGTTTTGCAGAGAACTCCAGGGGAGGAAAGGCTGTGCAAAGGCCTGCAGGCCGGAGCAGCAGGAGGTTCCTCCATCACTGAGACCTGCTGGGTCTGTTCCATCTGAGAAATGAGGGGCCGTGTGTGTGTGTGTGTGTGTGTCTGTGTGTGAGTATCTGGTCCCTCACGGGGCCGAAGGGAGAAGCTCCCAGCCGGATGGAGGATCTGGAAGGAGCGATGCCGGCAGCAGGCGGGGAAGCCTCGCTTCTGCCTTGTCTCCCTCTGACCGGCTTGCTCGCTTCCCCGTCTGCACAGGGCTGGGGGGCAGGAGGATCCGGAACTCTCCCAGGCTCTGGGGTCCTTCGGGTACTGGCAGTCAGAGGGGAGCGAGCCCAGGGGGCCTCTGGGAAGAGGTGAGAGAGCTGTGCCCAGAGGAGGCCCAGAACCAGTGGGGAAACGTGTCAAAGATCTGACCACAACTCCCCCCGCGCCCCCCCCCCACCCCTGCAACCCAGGCTCCTGGGTGCCTCCCTCCAGGAGCACCTGCTTCCCGCCAGGCCTCTGGCGTCTGAAAGGGTTGGGTGTGGGGCTGATGTTGCGGCCACATCCACACTGACCGGAGGGCAGCCCGGTGCAGACAGGGTGGGGGCAGGCCTGAGGGTGCCAGGCAGTGGCGGCAGCAGGGAAGGGGCAGGGGCCACATGGGCTTGCTGCCCGCCCCATCCATGAGGATGAATGGCTGTGTTTGCTCGCTGGGGAGGGGCTGTGGGGTGGCGGCTCTCCTGAGGCTGCCCCCCCCGGCCCGCCCCCTGCTCAGCAGACCCACCCTAAGGAAGTGCTCACGTCTGTTGTGGTCTTGTCAGACCTCCCGCAGGTGACTGTGCCCCATGCTACAAGTCCGCTCTTGTGTCTGGCCTTAGTCACTGCTGCTGTTGCACCTGATTCATTTGTCGGAGGACAAGTGAGGGCCCCATTATCCTGCCGCCCAGCCTGACATCACTGAACCCCCTGGGCATGTTCCCACTCCCCCACTCCCGGGATGGCCCAGCCGGCACCGGAAATGGCTGCGGGATGAATGTGTGAGCGGGTGGGTGGCTCAGGTCCTCCTCCCGTGAGAACGCTGAGAGGTGTCTGAGCGATGGATGAGGCATCGCTGGGAACTGGGCTGAGATGGAGAAGGAAAAGGGGGCCCAAAGGGAGAGGAAGGTCAGGAGGAAAGAGATGGGACTGAGGACACAGAGACAAAGCCGGTTCCACCCCAGAGAGCTGGTGTCCAGGAGCTCAGGGGACACAGGCACCCAGGGCCTCAGCCACAGGCGGCCTGGGCTGCACAGGGCCCATGTGGGGGGGGGGGGGGGGCGGAAGGAGCAGGTGGGATAGCGAGCTCCGAGGGGACCCTGAGCCAGAACAGAGGGACCAGGAAGCGAGAACCTGGGGCTCGGTGAACACAGAGGAAGCATGGCCTTGCTCAAGGCCACCCAGTGAGGACCCAAGGTCACAGTGAGCCACCCAGCAGGACCTGGCCCTCTGTCCCCGGCAGGCACAGTGCCCATGAGGACACTGAGGGTCAGAGAGGCCACTTGGTCTGGGGAGGGCCCTGTGGGGGAGGCCTCTCTCCTGTGGCCGCCTCCCTCCGTCCTGTGCTTGGGCACACTGGCACTGCCAGGCACTTACTCAGCCTGTCGAGGGCCCAGCCCCCAGCCGGGCACCCGTGGGCTTCCCCAGCCCTGGCCGAGGGCAGTGAGAGCGAACAAAGGCCCAGTCTCTGCCTGCCCAGGCTCCCACCCCCTCGCCCGCCCCTGGCACAGAAGGACCAGGCCCCCGAGGAAGTGCAAGAGCTAAAGCCACCCACCCC